AAATTGTGAGTGCTCTTGATTTTAAGTTCCTAATGATATTAATTTTATTGTTAAAACTGTGTTGTGAAAAATAATTAATAAACCTTTCTGAAAAAGTAGTTTTGTGGTACCAGTCGACTTTTAAAATCTGGTTAGGTGTTCTCAATATCCTAGTGTCTAAGAAGGCTAGAGAATTGTCTTTTTCCAATTCAAATTTGGGTGGAAGCTTTGAAAAACATCAAAAATGGAAATTATTGATGTTTTTGTTGTTACATACCAAGAAACACATAATTTTCAATAAAAAAACAATCAAACCATTTTCAACCAGAACAAAAACCGTGAAACAACGAACCACATACCTGGATCCAAGATAGCGAAGACGCGTCAAGCTCCGAAGAAACCAAAAACTCCTTCACACCGAACATTTCCTCGCTCGACCGCGGCAAAAGCATCCCATCGCCGCACAACATAAACTAAAACTGTTGATGATTGTTAATGGGCGACGGTAGCGCCACTCGGAGGCGGCATATGGCGGCAAACTGCGGCTAAACAACCAAGAACGACCTACTTGCGTCGTCAACACATCCCCTTCTTTTTTTGAGACGCCACGCGACCGACGACCAGCACGGCCTACTGATTTATCATCACTCTTAATTATTATTTCTTTGGAGCGAATCGTCATTTCGGGCTAATTGCCGGAACGCGAAAGACTTTTCGATTTGTTTCTGTCATTAAATTCCACCACAAATTGGTTTGTAAAGCTTTGTGGAAGTTATAATTACTGTGATTGTGATCGTTCAACTTGTAATAAATAAATTGGTCCAATCTGAAATATTCAGTAACATTAAAAAACGTCTTTCCACGTCTATAGAAAAGAAAAAGAAAGAAAAAAAGCAATCAATTTCTCTATTCATTCCAAATGTTCGTTATGGAGTTGAATCAGATATCATTCACAGGATTGCTACACAATATAGTAAATGAAAGAGATAAAATTTCACTTACATGGAACACTGTCATCTTCACTCGTGGACATCTGGACTGGTGGACTTCTCCATCTTAATACAAAAAAATGTGGAAATCTTCCAAAGAAAGAAAGAAAACAATCAATTTTAAAAGAAGTAACTCCATACATAGATATGTAGATCATGCAAAAAAGTAACTTTCAGACACGAAATGAAAGTAGAAAGTGAAAACCTTGCTTTCCCAAAAATTAATCTCTCTTAAAAATATACACCTTTCAATTCGAACAAGATTCCTATGGCTGGGATTCAATTGAATAAGAGAACACCATTCCATCTAACGTATACCCTTCTGTACCTTATATATGACAATATCCAGTTTAAAAATATTCCACGAATTCCTATAGTACATAACTTCCCAGATAGAATATCAAAGTTAATAGAGTCAAATGCCTTAGATAAATCGAAGAAGAGCGCACCGACATACTTTCCCTTGTCAACATTGTTGTAAATGCCTTCCATGAAAGCAGCAGTCGCTCCTTTCGTCGATCCATTCGGACAAAACCAGTACTGAAACCTGCTCAAAATATTATTACTCAACAAAAAAATCAAGCAATTTATTATGAATACATTTTTCGATGATTTTACTTATAGTAATCGTGATGGGTCGATAATTGTTCAGGGTCAGCGGATCATTTTTCTCAAATATGGGAATGATTTTTCATATTTTTAAAGTATCTGGAAATGTTTCTTCTTCGACACTTATTTATTACGTAACTTAGTGGTTCCGAAATAGACGAAGCTACAAACTTAATAAATATTAGTAGGTAAGTGGTCGAAACCTACAGATATTTCATTTCTCATGCAAATGATTACATTATACACCTATACTGCAGTGACTGGTTGGAAATTGGAACTATTCAGTACACGATGCCCTACCGTGCCACTAGAAAATTTATTTTGGATTTATGATGTTACATAAATACCGTTTTTCTTCTCTAAACTTCAACGTCTTATATCTCAGCAACCCCGGTTATGTGTTCATAAGAACTTTTTTCTTAAAACGACCCAACGAATCACCCTCTGAAGTTTTGTACTGTAGTTAGGTAACACCTTGTAGAGGATTTACAATCTTGGGTTTGCAATTTTCTTCCTTAAAATAAAGGCAAAGATTTTCACTCAGTGAATTTATTCTTTAATATATACATAGATCCACCACTGGCAGATCTAAAATCCATTCAAACGAATTGAAAGTCACGGTATACCTATATTCACTTGGCGGAAGTACCTTATGTCATCTCCGATCATAGTTTGTATCACATGAAGTGGGTATAATTAAACAATACACAAATAGATTAAGCAGGAAGAAGCATCTCAAATTGCACTTTTCTAATTAGATGCGATACATTGAATGTTGTTTATAGGAAGTATTTGTTTGTTTCTTTTCGGATAACAGCTTCCTTTTTAAGAAGGCTGATGAGTGTGTTTGAAAGAACTTTTAGTGATTAATTAACTAGTTGTCGAATGAAGCAAATCCAACTGGGAGGCCATATATTTGTTCTCCATTAATTCAGTCATATTAACTTCTTCAACCTCCAATCGGCAGAAAAATTTCCAGTGGACTGAATTATGTTACACACCCTAATTATGGTGTATTAATGGTAATTTAAATACTGGCTTGATACCGTACCGGCTGAAAAAGTTATTTAAGGTCAATGGTTACAAAAAATCAGTTTTCCACGATTATCTCGCCTTCTCTAGGTGGTCTCAGAAGTTCATAGGCTATCACACTGATGACGCATCTGGTATTGAATCCATATGAACCTTAGTGCGGCAAGCCGGTATGATTTCAAGATTCGAGAGTAGAGAGGGTGTCATTCTACCAAGGACTCCAATAATTAGAACAACCATCGTGACACAGTGGTCTGGATAGAACCTGGGGAGTTCGAAGAGAAAATCTCGATATTTTATTCGTTTTCCCCCCTTTTCGGACGATATTCGTCTTGCCAGGAGCTGAAAACTGCACAACAAATATCGTCTTGCTAACATGACATTCTACTCATAAATTTGTGAGTGGTGCTACTTTTGTTAATTTCAAAACAATGGATCAAAAACCATTTCTTGTTTCGATTTTACACTACTTCTTGATGGGAAAAAATACCGTTCAAGAGAAACAATGCCTTGAAAAGTTTTATAAGGACTCCGCTCCATCAGAAACAACAATTAAACGTTGGTCTGCTGACTTCGAACGTGGTCGCATAGACACTGATGATGCACAACGTAGTGAACGTCCGAATGAGGCAGTAAGACCAGAAAACATAAAAAAATCCACAAAACCGTTTCGAATGATCGAAAAGTGAAGTTGCGTGTGTGTTACCTGACATTGTAGAGAAATCAAAAAAACATGTTGGATTTTTATTGCATGAGCATTTGACTATGAGAAAGATAATGGAGTGCCGCGTGAGCCCACTGTCGACCAAGAACAAGAACGTTTGGATAATTCTTACCAGTGTTTGGCCAAAACATTGGCGAAACTACGTAAATTGAACTTCGAATTGGTCCCACTTCCACCGCATTCACCAGATTTGGCTCCCAGCGACTACTGGCTGTTCACAGACTTCAAAAAAATGCGCACCGGTAAGGAATTCCGTTTGAATGAAGAAGATACAACACAACATCAAGTGGGCTCAAGCTGAAATCATCCACAAAGAGGAACACTGGTTTAGGAGAAAATTCAAAGAAGCCGCGTATATGTTGTCCAACAACGCATTTAGTCAAGCTAGCGTAGAGATACGTAACATATAGAAATATCTAATCGAGCAAAAAACGACCAACTCCCGCCAAACGGTCATCTCTAAAAACAATTAAGCGGAAAGAGGAAAGAGGGGATAGGCGAATGACCTATAAATAGTCAGATCTCGGAGGAATGAGTCCTTTACCGATCGCGAAAGAATAGCACCTAAAGGCTGACTTTCGACCAAAAGAGGTCAGATGTCAATCTTGCTGAAGTGCCCATCAGTAAGTTGAGGATGTTTCGTTTCGCTAAAGTGATATAGCGTAGCTTCCCACCCAGGTAGCTACGCCATATCACTTCAAATAACTCTACAACATTTCAACCAAATCGATTTGAGGGTATTCTTGATATTTTTTTCAACTTCAACCCCTCTATCTCAAAAACGAGGCAACGGACATATGTGCACAGGAACTTTATTTTTGTACGACCTAATAAATCATTCCCTAAAGTTTCGTGCCATAAATACCAATCACCCTGTATTCCATTCAGTTCAGCACAATTTGAAACGTTCATCACTATACATGAGACTTGAAAAATTATTACTGCCTACCGTTTAGATCACAGTGAAAGACTATGCACTTAGCAATGTATTCATATATGCAAACTTACCGAAGAGTGTTATTTTCCCATTCTATGCAGTGCACTGACCGCTCAGTTCCGGGTTACCGGACTCTTACATTCGCCCCCAACCCTGGAAAATATAGCCCTGAAGCCGGTTTCAAGCATAAACATCACCTTCAGACATGAAAGATGTTCGATCTGGTAGATTGCATTTCTGGTGACTAATCAGAGAACGTAAAGATTTGAAAATGTACATTCAGAATGAAGGAAATCCAGAGATCACTCTGGAAAATCTAGTTAGGTATGTTTTTATTTTCGCAATTAATCATTTTGGGAAAAAAGCTTTTTGGCTTTCTACTTCTCAATCTTTATAGGAAGAAAGCAATTGAGTTCAAAATAAGGTTATTTTCAGATACAAACTGGAATAGAAAGTATTCCCAAAACAACTACTCTCACATGAACTTTGAATTACATAAAAAACTACTGTCGAAACTAATTAGTACTTCCATATGAACATTGAAATATGTTTTGAATAAGTATAAGATTAATAGTGATTTCCATCACTGCTTGAATTATGTAGGTTGTACATCATACAACTGTGAACAAGGACTCTCCATGATTGTGAATCAAAAAACAAAATCACGAAATCGTTTAACAAAGCAAAATGTTGTTTTGTGTGTTGTGTCAGACATTGAAAAATTGTTTCTCACTAATAGAAAACTAAAAAATGTGCATTAAATGCTTGTATAATATCCTTTTTTCAATAAAAAATACGGCATAAACCGTTTCATGTATGGAAATGAAATGTTCTGATTTTCTACTCTTTCATCGTTATTCCAAAGAAAGGAAGGAAGCAATCAATGAAAAAATTGTCTTCATTCAAAGATGTGTAGATCATACGAAGAAGTAACTTTCAGACAAAAACTGGAAGAAAAGCACTCTCAAAACAGCTGCTTTCATACAGTGTGTAAAAGCCTAATGGAATAAATTCAAATTCAAAATATAAAAAACTGTAAATTATATTCATGGCAACATTAGTTTAAAACGCCTTGTCAACTTGTTTTGTATGTTACAACATTAATTGTCAGTATTTTAATTTAAGTTTGAAGTTCGTTAACTTCAAGTCTGACAAATGGTTAGATTAACGGAAATGCATGAAATACAGTTTTACAAATGATTGGT